ACAAACAAAATACTTATATATATTATTTTCGTAAACCAAACAAAATAACTCGTGATCGTGCCTCGTACGATAGTCAGCCCAGCTCAAATCGTAACTCGGCCTGACTCATCCCAGGGAGCATTACGCACCCATCGGTCCAATTCGAGAACCAAAGATGCACAGCTATCCGCGCCACTATACTGATTGAATCCACACGGATACACACAGGCACACCGACGTGTAAAATATCCTTGGCTTCGTTCCACATGATGTGCGTATATGTATACCGATCGACCGCGAAGAAAGAGGGACGGAGAGAAAACCGAGCGTGAAAACATCTCTAAATCATAATAATAAGTATACACACAACACCGTCGCATTGTCGCCTCGCTCACGCTCTTTTTTCATGCAAATGCGAGTATATAGGTACACGCACACGCGCGTGGCACTACTTATGAACGTATGTACCACAGCGAGAAGAAAAAAAAACCCCCTCGCATAATCAATGAGTTTGTCGAGAGTAAGTACGCGAGGTACGAAGAAGAAGGAATGAAAGAGAAAATGATGTTTCAATTGTGCGTGTGTTTGATTGTTTTTTTTTTTTTTTTCTCTTCTTTGCAGCGCTGCTGCTGTTGTACGACGTGACGAACAAGCAGAGCTTCGATAACATCAGGGCCTGGCTCGGGGAGATTCGAGAATACGCTCAAGACGACGTAGTCATCATGCTGCTGGGTAAGCCATCGGAGAGCCGAGGCGTTAAAAATACACACACACACCTGGATCATCGGCGCGAGAACATTACCCGTTGTACAGCAGAACATATATACGGGAATTAGGTTGTGGAGAGAGGACACATTTTGGTAGTGCTTGACGTTTGGTGCACTTATGGGGGAGGGTCATACCAATAGTACAGGGGACACCGATTGTTTACTGGGCGAACTCGTAGGGTCTGTGTTTCAAACATACTTTTTTCTTTTTGGGAGTCATCGGAAAGAGACTGGGTGGTAATGAAATTTACGAAAAGCCATGTTGAGTGAAAAAGGGGGGGGGGGGAATGCAAAACATTTATCTATGCGTCTGGTGCTTTTGTTTGAAAACTTGTAGAAAATTCCGGTTGGCCGTACGAAAAGGCACCCTTTTGAAAGACGGCAAAACTTCGGGTCAGCTTTCTGAATCGTTGTGTATTTTTTCCGAGTGAATCGATAAGAACAAAGACCTGCTGGTAAGGTGTATTCGCGATGACTAATTAGGGGGGATCACCGACGCAATAAAAAAAAGTCCAACGCTGAGCTATCGTGGAAAAAAAAAAAAACATCGAGGGCAATCAGACGAGTCGCGAAGAATGAGTTTTCACGGAAACCCCAATGAATTATACATTAGAGGCCATCGAGCTGCAGGACTCGATACGCGACAGTGGACACAAAAAGCGTTTATCAGAAAAAACGCAATCGTTATACAGAGAGAGTAAGTATAGTTGGGCTGAAAGGCGATGTTAATTGCAGGAAACAAGTGCGACTGCAGCTCGGATAGGATCGTGAAAAAAGAGGACGGACAGCGATTGGCGAACGAGTACAAGGTGCCCTTTATGGAAACCTCCGCCAAGACGGGACTCAACGTCGATTTGGCTTTTCACGCGGTTGCCAGGTGAGTGAGCGTGCCTCGGCTCGAGATTAGATTATGAGAGCTTGTTAACTTTGCTTATCGCACAGTACAGTACAGGGGATTGACAAAGACTGAGAAAATCAACGATTTTCAATAATTCATTTTTACTTTTCATTCACATACGACCAGAGAAACAAGTTGGAAACATACCGGTTGATTTCAGCTTTCTAAAAGTCTCTGACAACACACTGATAGGAAGATTCCTTACTTTTCTTAATTATTCAAGTCCAGCTTATTAAGTAACTGTTACTGAGTTTAAATTTAAATTTGAGCAAATACCCAATCATAAACAGCAACATACAACTACGTATGAAAATACTGCATTTGTTAACTTTTATTGGTTAGTTGTTGATGAATGCTTCATTAACCACCGAGTCAACCTTTCTATCTGTGCATTCTCTTAACTACCAAGTGTTGATTTTTATGAAAACTATCTCAGAAACTTTGATACTTTAAATATTCACTGATTATATGCTCAAGATCTTGAAGATCAATGAGATTTTCTCAAAAGGTCACAATGCTGTGACAAAAAAAAAACATTTCCAGGGAGCTCAAGGCTAGAGCGAAAAAGGAGGATGGTGACCAGGACGATGCGCGCTTCAACGTGCAGGACTACCTCCGCCAGAACCAGTCCCAGCAGCGAAGCTCATGCTTGAGTACCAATTGTTTGACAACCTGAGCAGGAACGCTGGCAAAGTTCATCGTCGTCGTCGAGTCCGTTGCGTCATATTCCTGCAGATACAAAATTATCTAAGAGTATTGTGAATTCCAGAACGACGAGATATCTTTTGGCGATAATACTGTTAATTCCCAAGTGCAGGGTAATGAGCGATGATGATGACGAGCGTTGAAATGAAACCGAACCGGAAATTATTGTAAAAGAAATGGTGGAACGATGCGTGGGTTGGCGCAGTTCTTGTAAACTGGCGGGAAAATGTGAGTAGAAAGCACCAAATGTACGAGCTTTGAAAAAAAATAAACATTGTATTTCGTTTGGCTTTAGTTATGAGCCTTACTTACTTACCAAACAAGTGTGTTTGAATGTTTGATGTTATTTGCGAAATTTGCAGGCGAAACAATAGTGTCACAGAAAAGTATACGTAGAAAACGAGTTTTCAATTGTTATTATCTGTAGAATGTTAATATTGCCGAGAGACATGCTAATGCTATGTTACAATGAGAATAATTACAAGGGACATCAACAATATACAACACGTAATACAGTAGTGATGGAATGTGTGACAGATTTAAATGTTGGGGGCATTTGATGTATTTAAATTGTGCCACTAACTGTATACAGCTCTGATTTGAAGATAGGATTTTTTTTTTTTTTTTTTTCAATATGAGGACTGTAGTGTGTACCCAATTAAAATATGTTAATATTGAATGTTGAAAAATTGATAATTTGCATTAATAAAAACCTTAATCATTTAAGCAATTTTCTGTACAGCATAAAAATCTTAAAGTGTAGTTTAAGCCAGAATTAAAAGTAGCAATATTAATGATTATCTATTACTAAACAGGACCAAGTTCAGTTATTCTAAGAAATCTTTATTAAAATTATAGAAGGTACAAGTGTATATGTACCAAAAAGTGATTGTAAATGCAGCACAAAGAAAATAATATATTTTTCTGAGATACATGTTGAAGTACAGTAAACTGTTAAGTCATAAAAAAGAAAGATGAATAAATATATTGTTATTGTACACATGAGATATCTTGAGCTCAAATTCCTTATGTACCAAGTGTATAGTTATTGCAATATGCATATAATCCAAGATGTTTACCCATAGAAACATGTAATGTAAAGAAAAACCAATGACCAAAAAGCAGATTGATGATAAAAATTACATTACTTTTTATGTATGAATATTCAGAACTTGACTACAACAATTATTTTTACAAACAAGCCAGTTTTTCGTAGTGTGCGTTGTTTATTTCCTTTCTATGATTTTCTTATTTCTTAGGTTCGAGATGTAAGCGACATGAGGTGGCTTTAAATTTTTGTTTAGTAACTTTTGAGAATGTATATAAGTTTTTGTAAAATAAAACCATTTACGTTAAATATAAACATATATAACCTTTCTTATTGTCACCTTGTTAACTTTCGTACAGATTTATAGATGGTAATCAAAAATAGCAAAGATATTCGTGAAAAACGTATGCGATTTTACTGACCTTTTGTTTGCAGCCAAAGATTGTGATTTCAGCAGCAACAAAGTTGGTTAAAATCGACAGCTCACTTCTGAATACAAAAGTATACCTCATCAAATACTGGCTGGATACATAAAAAAACGAGCATGCTGTTACGAATAACACACCTTAGATACGCCATCATACAAGATTGTTATCTATACTTACGCTTTTTTACTCCTAATTTCCTAAACGTTGATAAAAAACAGCCAACGGACAAATGGGGGTTACGAGCCTACTTGTACAACATATACCTAACCACTCGCGGACAAACAAAATACTTACGAACAATGTTTTACTTTTCAATGAGAATAACGCCGATTCTAATGTACGTTACCTTAAGTATGTACTTGCAGCTAAAGTTAACAACAACAATTTTAAGTAAGTACCTACGTACCGAATGTAAACGTACGGAAGCCCGGTGACGACATCTGCATAAAAACGCATGAGCACGCTCAAGAACATATTTCAAACCTACTACGGTTCTAAGAACCCAACCTTTTCTGTTTGAGTGAGATTCGATGCTCCATTCTTAGGCCGCGGGCACATGGAGAGCGTAACGCGTACCGCGTAACCATTTGAGCCCATGAGAGTGAGAGAGAGGTTCGCGTACTTTACCTCTCTCTCACTCTCAAATAGTTACGCGGTACGCGTCACGCTCTCCATTTGCCCGCAGCCTTAGGAGACTCTTCGTGTGATTGCGTGCTTCTTTTTTAAGCCTTTTTTCTTCGGTTGTCTTTTTTAGACTGATTAATTTACGTATATATTTGATCGTTACTCGAGATTTCCGTAACACAAATTTTGCTACATGCATATTATATAAGTTAACTGTTTATTGGAATCATAAAGTTAAAGGACTGTGCTTCCATGAGTTAATGGTAAAAGGTCGAAAGTATTGTCATTTTGTAAATATATGGTCGATTTTATAAGCCATATAAGATAAGTCGAATATTTATACTTTTAGAGGTCGCTTTATAGGTAAAAGATAAAATGTAAACTTGCCGCAAGTAGCATAGAACACGTTAACTTTTTATTTTATATGAATATGATTAGTTGCGGCTGGTTTATAACTAATAAAATGGCTCTACTGTAAATAGCAGTAATTATTTGGATCAGCGCCATCTAGCGGTCGAAACTTTTTTGGCCAAAAATTGCTTCTGAAATTCTGAAGGAGAGCTTTAGGCAGTTTAGGCTCTAGAGCCATTTAGTCAATTATAAACCAGCCGCAACTCACTTGGTAGCTATAAAATGAAAAAATAACGATATATGTGTTTTTGGCGGCAAGTTAACAATCTATCTTTTGCCGAAATTTAATCTTCAAAAGTATAAATACATAGGAGGTCAATTTTTTGATAGAAAATAGATTGTTAACTTGCCGCCAAAAACACATGTTTTGTTATTTTTTTATTTTATAGCTTTGTCATGAGTTGCGGCTGGTTTATGATTGATTAAATGGCTCTAATCCTGATTGCTCTCATTGAGAATTTTAGGAGCCACTTTTGGCCAAAAAATAAAGACCGCTAGATGGCGCTGATCCAAATAATTACTACTTAGCTTATAGTAGAGCCATGTAATCAATTATAAACCAGCCGCAACTGATTTCACAGATAGAAAATAAATAGTTGACATCGTCTGTACTATTTGCGGCAAGTGTAAAATTTATTTTTTACCTGAAAATCGACCTCCAAAAGTATAGATATCCTACTTATATGGTTTCATCGCCAAAAAACGTAGGTTGGACCGAAAAAGCCACTCGAGCGTCTTGAGAGAGTTGCCATCGAACACAGCCGTCTCGACAACATCTCCAAAAAAAACGCGGTCATCTTGGCTCTTTGGTAATAGCGTTTTGTTTCGAGAGAGGGAACGACGGAACAAGAGGAAGAGACCCGGTGTTCCCGGTGTACCACACCATCAGTAGTCTCGTCATCGCGTCATAAAAACCTCGAGTTAAGTAACCGTTTTCGGTCCTATAGCCATCCGAGGTGAGCGATACTGGGTGACGCAGCGCTGGTCTAGGATCTCGGTACTTAGTTGGCTGAGTTGGCTCCATGTATCCACGCTTATCTCTCTTCACCTACGTCACCGCCAAAGAGCAAGTCTCTCTCTCTCTTTGGGATTCCAGTTTTAGTTCACGCTGGTCTGGGCCACCTATACCTATGAGAAAGACCAGATCAGACCAGAGTGTATAGTGTGTTCCGGCGCATGATAGGTATTGGGTGTCTGCAGAACAAAGTGTAGCCACGACAAATGTCGAAGGTATTTGGACAAAGCAACAGCGGCGGTTGTGGTCATAGCAGCTAATACCTGGTGTCCAGGTCCATCCCTCGAGGAGGAGGAGGAGGAGAAGAATAAGCCTGAAACATGGATGACGTGGTTGTGGTCTCGGATAGCTTGGAGCACGCCTGTAGGCTATGCCTGACGACCGGGCAGAAATGCTCCTCGATCTTTAATGTGCCCGATGCCAGCGTGCCCTTCGCCGAGAAGATCCGCGCCTATCTTTCCATTAAGGTACGTCGTTCGATTTATCCGTTTGTTTGGAGATTCTCATGTGGTCTCTTGGATTTTGGTTTTGATCTTGCTGATAGTAAGTAGTTACTGATGGGTTACCTTTTTTTTTTCGCGCGTGTGTGTCGATTCTCGAGGCATTGGAGGTTAGGTTGTTTGCGCCAGTGTTTTGCCGCCTTATACACGACACGGTGTCCGAGCATCGGTTGCTCCATTTAATGGTTCAGGGTATTGGATTGTTGATTTTTTCCCCAATCGTTGGAAGTTACGGACGCTCATGAATTTGAGAGATTCCTCGTTCTATCATGTATGAGGGTAGTATGAATGTTTTAGACGAGTACTTTCAGCTCTCAAATAAAAAGAACCACATCTATCTTTTTGATTGAGCATTGTGGTATGAAGTCAAATTCAACGATTACTTATGAAACTTGATGCTGTTTGATTAAATGATGTTTTTTTTGTATGTAGGTCACATCAAATGACAAGCTGCCTACGCTAGTCTGCAGCTCTTGCATCAAAACTATAAACCACTGGCACACCTACAAAGATACGTGTCTAAAGGCCCAAGAAAAGCTTCAGCAATGGTTCAGCGGGAAAAGTACGACGGTTCATGTAAGTTTTTTTGGTTAATGAGCATTGTTTTATTGTCAGAATATATACAAAACTTACAAACGTTAAGGTTGCTTACTATTATTAGTTTTTAATCTTTGAAATAACTGAAACTGTAAATAAGGTGACTTTTTAGCCGCTTGTAACAGTAAAAGAGGAACCATTAGACGAAGAATGCATGAACAGTCATGTACAAGTTACAAGAACAGATATTGTAAGCCTAACGTTGTATATTGGTTATGAGATTGTTATTATTATCCTAAAATATCTTAATTTTATAGAGTAATCATGTCGAAGCCAACACAGATGATGTCCAACAAAGCAATGCTGTGCCAACTACTAGCAGGGTGGATGAGGGGATACCAGAGCAGCCTTCAAGATTCAGCGAAAGCATGGATGTTTTTTCCCCTGAAGTGCAAATCAAGACAGAACCCATGGATACAGAAGACGAAGATAATTGTAACATTGATGTCGAGTCGGTGAACAGCGGTGAACTTTTGCTCAACCCAATGGCCATTGCAGCTCAAAACGCCGGTAGCAACAATATGATGATGGAAGCTGATGCAGTAGAAAAATTCAGAACAAGGAGGTTTATCACCCGCAAGATCAAACGCCGTGGACCGCACACACATTTCAGGGGTGTCAAATTATTCAAGAAGAAATGTAGTCACTGTTCTATTTACCTACATTCAAAATATTCTTATGCTCAACATATGTCCAGATACCACGGCATTGTTAATAGCTTAGATAGTAATGACTGCAGTGAACCAGTGCAGCCAGTGCCTGTACAAAACAAGCAAAAGTCGAAGCTCACTCATCATGTAGATAGCGAAGAGCAAATTGAAAATTCTGAAAACGTCGTAAATTCGGAGGATCTGGAATTTGCAAAAATGATTAAGACGGACCCTCTAACGCCCGTCCAAAAGACAATCATTGGTCAATTGAAAACATTCTCTTGCTACGCTTGCAAGCAGACCTTCTTTGACCGCCGGCACACGTTAAATCATATAAGGCAGCACATGCCAGATCTCAGGCCGTACACTTGTATTGCCTGCCTTACAGAGTTCTCGGATAGGTCGATGTACAAGCTGCATTGTGGAGCATCGTTCGAGTGTGCCATGAAAATCGCACTCGTAGTTCCGAAAATAGGATACGAGAAGTACTTTACTTGCAATATGTGCCTCAAGGCGTTCAACAATCGTCGGGAACTGTTGACACATCTCGCGATCCATGCTGATAAGCAACACAAGCAGCTGTCTCAGCCCATCCGCTCTCCTGGCAAGTTGAACTCTTCAGGTGTACCTGGTACCGGTCCACAGTCTCATTCCGTACCAGCTGGACCGTACATGAATGGTGATCCAGCTCACAATCACATGTGCGATCTTTGTGGTATGATTTACAGGTACAGGCCCAATATGGTCAAGCATCGCGATCTTTGTAGCACACTGCTGGAGAGCATAAGAACTTCGTACCGTTGCATCCAATGTAACATGACCTACCTTGTGTTTAAAAAGTTTTATACTCATATTGTCAATGAACACAAGAAGCGCGAAATCACCTGCTTCATTTGCCACGAAAAATTCTTGAGTCCAGATGAGTTTTTGGCACATCACGAAACACACCGGGTATACTCTGGCAAGGACAATTCTGCGAGTCAAGAGCAACAAGAGATGGATGGCAATTATTCTGCAGATTCCCTGGATGCCTCGAACCATTTGGCGGATACCGAAGAAAAGTTCAATTGTGCACTCTGTGGCGAAAACTTTGACACCAAGCACGAGCTGAGCGAGCATCGCAACCTCCATTTGAAAGTTAAGATTTACTCTTGCGTAGTCTGTCGCAGTATGTTCAGCAGTTCAATTGCTCTTGAGTCGCACATGAAGGTGCATGGATTTGATGACGCCTCCAAGCAAACTAACAACGCCGGCAACAATGCGCTCAACGAATCAGCTGTATCGGCTGCATCGGATCCTGGCCCTGGTCTTCATCATTGCTATCAATGTGGCAAAAATTTCTCAAACTATGCCAATCTCAAGCGCCACGAAAGAAATCTCCACTTGAAGGTTCAACAGAAGATTTGGACGTGCGATATTTGTAAAGATTCATTCACCTCTTCTCAAGAACTTGAAAAACACAGATGGGTTCATAGCAGACGCTCTCATCAAATGAAAAACTCCGAAACGGTAAGTCATTTTGTCTTTCTTTTTTTTATTATTCTTTACCAGTTCGTAACAAAACGTAATTCCATTGTCAGACTTCACCAAAGATCACTTCTCCTACCGGAAAACCGTTTCTGCAGTGCCCCAAGTGTCCCAAGACCTTCATCTATCAAGGTAATCTTATTCAGCACTGCCAGAACGTACATAAGGAAAATCACTTTGAGCGCATTGCTCGGCAATCGGCCCCACCTGCTCGACAATCGGCCCCACCGGCCCCTGCTGCAGCTCCAGCTCCACCTCCCCCTCGGCCTCGTGGTGGTTACGCTTGTGACATATGTGGTAAGTCATTTAAAGAAGAGCAATCGATGAAAACTCATAAAGGCTGGCATCTGCGGACAAACTACCGGCTGAAATCTGATCAAAACATTAGCATGGACGACAACCTACTTAGTGGTTCGGGAATAAATATGCCTGCGGATAATTCTCCAAAGCCGGCTAAAGCCCGTAAGTCCTTTCCCAATAATCCTTCGCAAAAACAGCTAAACAACATCGGTAGCTTGCAATGTCAGGTTTGCGATGATCGCTTCAACGATGTGACTACTCTTAGACATCATTTGTGGGACGTGCACTGTGCGCGCAATAAACCAGAGAGAATCTTTACGAGCGAGCTGCAGTGCGAGCTCTGCACGACTAGATTCAACGATGACGAATCCTTGCAAGAGCATATGAAGTGGCACTCGCAAAATCCTATCCTCAGCAATCACTCCATCAGTAAAACCAACAACGAGGTGACAAGTGAAGCTGGAACGACTAGTGCGAATTACATGATGAATAGGAAGTATTTCCGTTGCGAGACTTGCGGCAAAAACTACAGCAATCGCAAGATGTACGTGCGCCACAAAAAGCTACACAAAACTATGCCTGCGGCTACCATGATGAACTTGCAGTCGCTTCAAAAATCCAAGAGCCACTACTGCCACACTTGCCATAAAAACTTTGCCACAGATACAACGCTGAGGCGACACAAGGCCTCGCCATGCCACTTGAGCGTTGTGCGCTCGCAGACGCAGGCCCCTACCAAAAAAGATACCGTGGAGCCGCCGTCTGAGTATATGGACGTGTCCTCCGTTAAGGAAGAACCTGGCTCGGACTACTCTGGGTCTTCGTCGACCACGGGACAGTTGCAGATGCAGCCCGCCGTGTCCAAAAAAAAGGAAGTTACTTGCTCGATATGTAGAACCTCCTTCCCCAACTTGAGCGTTCTACATCAGCATAAGCAGCTCGTGCATCGGTCCATACCGAGCTCTCAAGGTTTTTTCCGCTGTAACGTCTGTGGTAAAAAGTTCCCTGGCCTCGCCAATCTAAAGCTCCACTTTGCTCATAAGCACAAGCCGAAATCTACTTTCCCTTGCACTTCGCCGGGCTGTAAGCTTATTTTCAACAGTAATAGCGCCTTAAAGAACCACGAGAATACGCATACTAGTATGATTTACAATTGTCTGCTATGTGACAGGCACGTGTTTTCCAAGGTCGCAATGACCAAACATATGCTTGCACTGCACAAAGAAGTTTATCACCAGTCTGGTGGTGAAAAAAGCTATCTTTGGACCGAGACCGACTTGACGAATTATACTGTAAAGAACTGCCAGAGCACGGCATGTCCTAAATGCAAGGTGAAGTATCCGAATTTGAAGGCGTTGAAAATACACTATCTGAAATTTCATGACAAAACATAAGCTGTGGGAATTTCTTTCTTCTTTTTTTTTTTTTTTTTCTTCTTTTTAATTAGGTTAATTTTATTTTTGACGTATTTTTACAGTGCGTTCGACTTGAAAAAAAAAAAAAA